GCCCGATCCGGGGCTTTTTTTTTTTTTTTTTTTTTTTTAAATGTTTTATTTATTTCTAGGAGAGAGAGAGAGACAGCATGAGCAAAGGGAGGGTCAGAGAGAGAGGGAGTCACAGACTGAAACACGTTCCAGGCTTTGAGCTGGCAGTCAGCACAGAGCCCGACGCAGGGCCCGAACCCATGAACCGGGAGATCATGACCTAAGCGAAAGTCGGACGCTTAACCGACTAAGCCACCCAGGCACCCCCCGATGCGGGGCTTGAACCTACAAGCTCTGAGATCATGACCTGAGCCACAGTCAGATGCTTAACTGACTGAGCCACCCAGGTGCCCCCCAAAGTTCTTATCTGTGATACAGATGAGTGGCATCAGGGACACAAGGCCATGTCTGTGGCATAGAGCACCTCCTGATGGGGCTCCAGTCATGAATCATGGCCATGTGGTTGAGTCCTGTTTCAGAGCTTATTGTAGACAAAGTGTTAATAAATGAGTAAAATATTCTTGAATGACCTAATTGTCAGGTTTATAAGACCTGAATTATAGAGATGCTTAAATTCCACAAGATTGCCAACCTTTCCATTGGGCCTGGCAATATACTGTTTCAAAATAAACCCTAAAGGAGTAATTAAATATATGGAAAACTCTCTCAGTAAAATGTACAATTCATAAAATGTAAAACATGCAAGTATAATCCATAACAGCGAAAGATAGAGACCAAATGATGTTATAGATAACATGGATAAATGGCTACATAAACTGCCTCATATCCACACTATGAAATAGATATCAACATTAAAAGATCATGTTTCCTAAAAAATGATTTGTGACATAGGAAAAGCTAACTAGAAATTAGGTGAAAAAGTATAGAAAATTGTGGATATGATATGATCTCATTTAACAGGATTTTCTCTGAGTAAGAAGATTACAAGTACTTCTCATTTTCTCTTTTATATCATTCAGGATTTTCAAAATTCCAAAAGCAAATGTAGAATGCTTTTGTGATCAGCAAAGCTAAACTTCCGCCCACTTGCACAGTCAGCACAGCCCTGTCACACTTGCCATGGCACACCAGGGGTCTCAGGCACACCCACACGTGGTCCAATCTCCCATAAGCCAACACAGCTCAGTGTGCCCCACCGTGTACTAACCAGGAGGAAACAGAGCCCTAAGGAGTCCTTCAGATCCATAAAATGGAAAGTATTAAAGCTCCTGTGGAGCTGGGCTCCCACATGAGGGCAAGGTTCCTGGGAACCCAGGTTTTTATATCATTCCTAAGAACATTCACTCAACCTTAGGGACAGGCAGGCAGCAGTGGCGAGATGCTGCCCTATGGAGGCAGGAATGACATACCGCGATCATGGCAATACAGTCTTCCGTGGACTCTGCGGATTCACACTCTATTTTCCCTGTGCTGCTTACACTCCACATATCACACTTGGCCCTCTCATGGTGACTTATTGCACACCATTTCACCTTCTTGCATTCATCCTTTGAGGTATGAGGGCCTAGGGCATAAGGAAGAAAACCAGATTTAGACGAAGCCTTAGAAATTCCTGCTGAGTATTATTATTACCACCTGTCTTCATGAAAATGCTGGGATTTTGCCAGCAGTACACAAACAGATCCCATTCAAGAAATTAATAACGTTAGAAAACAAAGGCAGTAACAGTCTCTTTGTTGGCTTTTATCACTTAGATGATAATTTCTTCTAAGAAGCCAACTTTAGTTCCAACCCCTCTATGACTTCAGGCTCTTTCTGGTTTTTTTCTTTTTGAAATAGCACTCAATCACCTGAGTTGTTCTTTTTTTTAATACTTTATTTTTAAAAGTTATTTATTTATTTATTTGTTTATTGAGAGAGAGAGAGAGCGCGAGTGCAAGCGAGTGAGAATATCCCAAATAGGCTCCATGCTGTCAGCACCAAACCCAACGTGGGGCTCAATCTCATGACCGTGAGATCAGGACCTGAGCCAAAATCAAGAGTCAGGCACCCCCTGAGTTGTTTATTTATTTGTTCATTGTTTATTGTCTGTTCCCTGCAGGAGAACATAAGTTCAGCCAGGGCAAGGGCTATGCCTGTCTTATTCTGCAAGGCACCATCATTATTCAAAGGCAGTGCCTGGCTTGTCGTCAGTGCGATAAATGTCTGCTGAATAAAGGGGCATCTATTCAATTTTCAGATGCAGTTCAAGTCAAAACTTCCTCAGGGAAGCTTTCCCACAGCCCCAGGATCTATTTTTCTTTGTTTTCAAGGTCTCATCAGACCATGATATTTTGTTCTGTTGTGTTTGTTTTCCTGTCTTATGAGCAAATCTCTCATTGTTAATCAATCATTCAGTAGAGTGACTATTCATTATTTGTTTTCTCCACTGGTGAGAAAGTTTCATGGCAGAGGACTCTTATATATGTTGGCCTCACCATTGTAAGCCCAGCACCTAGCACAGTTTATGGCTACATGATCAATAAATGTCTGTTGAATGAAAGGATGATCAAGCAAATCCCTCAATGATCCAAGGAAGTTCAGGAGCAGGATTAACCCATCCAGAGCTCCAGCTTCATTATGGCACATGTTGATCATAATACTGGCTGCAGATGTACAAGTCTGTAGCATTTCTGTTCTATTGGCTTACTTTGTGCCAGGCTAATTGGCTTCACAAAGTGGGCAAGCAGGGTGGCCCTGATTTACACAAGGGAAATAATGCTAGTATCAACCCAAGTCATTTTAAGCATGCATTTCCTTCAATGCCTTTTAGTGATGTCCGGCCCATCTCATGATGACTGACACCATTTAGCATCAGTCTGACACTGGGCGGCAAAGCTGGGCAGATAAGGAAATGTCAGGGTGGGCTTCTGGTGCCTGGAAAGAGTCTGTTGCTGGTCCCTACCCTTACCAGGTTTCCCAGGTCCTAAGGTCACATGATCCTTCCCTAGTACTTACGCATATCTTCCCTTAGATTCCGAAGAGCAGTGACATAGTCATATCCCAGATACAGCCAGGTGTCCATTTTAGAGGGAATCCTTAAAAGCCCCTGGGCAGAGTCCTTAAATAGCAGGTCCTTCCCCAGAGGTGAGCTGAAGAGCTGGAAGCCTGTAGATTTGTCTTTGCCATAATGTTCCTGTGTATAATAAAATATAATAGTAAATGGCTACAGCTACAAGGAATGCTTCAGGAGACTGAGGAAAAACAAAAACCCCAGAAAATGAAATGAAATGAAAAGCATGGAATTCTCAAGATTCCAGGAGAGAAGGCAGACAGGCCTGCTCTTTCCCATCCAGCACCTTCCCCACTCCCAGCCCTCTTGCAGTCATGCAACAACCTATTTTCCAGGACATGTTTCTGAGGCCTATCTCCCTGGCTGTGATGACAGCTCACTGAGTATAAGAAATGGATCTCCTTCAGAGGCTGACTCTGTGTGGTTACCACTTAAACTCTCGACAGACAGATGGAAGGGCTGGATGAGAGGAGGTTGGCTTAGTGCTGGGATTCCGCTGTTCTAGGGAAATAAAGCCAGCTGTGTGTGTGGCACCCTTGAAGTCAGGCTGAGGGACATTGGGTAAGAGATCATTCCCTTCTGGGGAGGTCATGGAAGGCCTTATGGGAGGTCTTGGAGGGGGTATTTGCCTTTGGCCTAGAAATCTTGGTTTAGATAGAAATAGAATTAAACAATAAGGAGCATCTTCATGTCACTAGTTCAAAATGTAAGGGTCTGACAGACAATAATTCAGGACTAGACCCCTTGTGACTCTGAGTCCCTGCTGGGCACTTTCACACAAGTGGATGATATGTGGCACAGTTCCCACTATGTCCTGCCAACAAGGAATTCCATAGTGGCCAGAAGGGAATGTAGGAAGAGGCCCCAAATCCAAGCAGGGACCACAAGCAGGAGGGAGAACAGTGAATTTAGTACCTGAGCCTGGTTGAGAAGCTCCCAGATCAAGTCCTCCTTGCCTCCCATACTTCGGGCCACAACAGCATGGGAAGGGACCTTGGCCAGGTAGCACTCCTTAAATTCATCCACTGACTTCCGGGTGTTGTCTGGGCAGAGCAGCTCATACTGGTCCCTGTCAGCTTTGTTTGGCAGGTTATCTGGGGGAGGAAAGCCTGGATGAGCCAGCTGCAGACAGGACAGAGCCACGAGCTATAGTCTCCCCATCCCTTGCAATCCCAATTAAATCATAACATGTATGAGCTGAGATGCCTAGAACAAATGAGAGCCAGAGCACATAAGGAAACTGACCTACTCAAGATCCCACAATCGGTCACAGAGGCAAGGAAGCTTCTGAGGCCTAGTGCAGGGGTGACTGCCCAATATCCCACAACAGGTCTCATATCAGCAGGCCAAGTTTAGGCCGAGGTCAGCCTGACCAGCTCCCAATCCTTTGCTGTGGCAACATAGACCAGGAAGAAGGGTCTCTGTGTCCAGGAAGTTGAATTATGGAAAGAGGCCCGGGGGTCCAGGTGGGGACCCCATAGGCACACAACTCTGCACAAGTAGAAGCCCAAGCAATGATAAAGGAGGAACATGATATGCACATATCTGACTACGGTCCATGAAGAGCAGTGCAGAGGGGGGGAAAAAAGCCCACATCCAGGAGGAGATCATGCAAATTCTTCTTTCACTTACCCACTACTGTGGAATGCTTGACAAAGGCCACTTCCCCAGCATCCTCCATTAGACACCTGTGGGAAAGAAATACATTAGAAGGATTACTGCAGGGTAGGCCCTTCTCCTGAGGCTTGAGGGTCTGTCTGATCACACTATCCAGCTTGGGGACAAGGGAAGAACCCAGTGGAGGCCTCTGTGCAGACCCACAGCTGAGGAAGCACCATAGGGCACTGATATGCCACTAAGATGAGGGGGTGTGATGAACTCACAGGAACTAGAAATCCCTCATCATGTTTACCAAAGTGGCAAAAAAAAATCATTAAAAATATTTTAATATAGAACAGAGTTTTCAAATTTCTCTGAAATGGAAAATAAATCCATCAGGTCTCCTAAGACAGGAAATGTGCCCTTGGCTGGCTATCAAGTTTTAGTATATAAACAAGGTAAAAAACGGAGCAAAAAATCAGCCACATGAGCTGTCTACATAGAGGTAGTGAGGGGAGGCAGGAGAGAGGCCAGTGCATTGAACAGGAGACACTGCTACAATAGAAAACAGAGGGTCAGTCCCTGAAGAATGGTCCAGACACTAAGGATGTGCCTGTCCCTTAGGCTCTGCCTAGTCCAGTGAGGGGACACATAGGGCAGGTTCAAGGGGTCTGGGGAGATAGAAAGGGTCTCCAAGAGAGGTGCTTCCTTGTTAAATATCACATGAAAGGTGTATGCACTGGCCTGACCTGGAGGAGAGTCCCAGCTGGATCACTGAGTCGCTATGAAGAAATTAGGCCTCCTGGACACCTCTTTGCAGGCTGGGCTCTGCTATGGACCAAGTAAGGTCTCACAGCCTAAGGACTTTGTACTCTTTGGCCACCATAGAGTAGTAGCTAGTCTCACTCACTTGAAGGCACCTGAGTAGCCGAAGTATGGTTCATGGTTGGAGCAGGCACACTTGTCTGGCCCTTTTCCTGCACACAGTTGACACAGTTGGGGGAAGGCTGTCCGATCCACACAGGGAACACAGCTGCTCATGAAGAAATTGGACGCTGCTGCTCAACATAAGACATTTAGCACAAGCCATGAGCCACCCTGGCCAGAGATAGTTACAGCCCCCAGTCCAGGCTCAAGAAAGAACAGAGAGTGACTAAAGCAAAACCAGTACACCCAGTCCCAGCACACCATTATAGGTGGTCACTGATCAAGATCAAGTTTTCCAAAAAGGGACAAGTTAACCTTTGTCCTCCCATTGACCCAGGCCTGTCTCAGATCACTGTCAGCCTCCTCTCTGCCTGTCAGACTGGAACACCTCGGAGAGAGGTTTCCTCTGGCATTTCTATCTGAGAGATGGGAGACCCACATATAGAGGTATAGGCCAAGTTCATGGCTGCCAGATGGCCACCAGAAAAGCTCCAGCAGAATGGGAAACACATCAGCCACAGACAGGAAAAAACCCCAGGGAAGTGAACAGTAGGACCCAGAAAAGTTGGCCCTGACTGAAACCCTCTATCAGGCTTGATGCCTTTCCCCCCATTCCTCAGGACAGTCTCTGGTTGGGTGTGAAGAGCTCAGAGAAGAAAAAACACAGCTAACATCTCCCAAGGTCTCCTGGTACGGCAGAACTGGTATGGCAGTTTAAAGGTGGTATACCTCCCACCTCTACCCCGAAGACCCATCACACATGATCACCTGATTGTGTCTGAGTGACCCCAGTGTGGCCTGTCTGATAGCACTCACCCTCTTGCCCACTTACCCCGCTGAAGAGATTCACGTGGCTCAGGCAACTTCCAATAAAGTAACCCCATGGGGATATTCCACCCAGCAGACCTGCCAAGGCCTGTGTGGCAGGATTTCTTGCCTTGGAGCTGGTTCAGTTGGAAGTTACTGGTCTTTTTCACCACAGCCACAGCATAATAGAAGGTTTTTTTATCTGCAAAGGGACAGTGTGAATCAAAGACCTTTAGTCCGGGGCAGTTGGAAACATTGCTTCTCATTGTTGGGCTCCTGAGTTGAGAAACAGAATCCACAGGGCACATTTATGTTGGGCTGGGTCATAGAGAGACATCAGGGAAACCTGCTTAGACTTGCAGGGGAAAGAAGGCACCACAGAGAGAACATTAATAATAACTCTCTAGGCAAACACAGGGACAAGAAGGCCACCTGTACATGTGGCCCAAATACTTTTGCCTACCATGGCCCTACAGGGTGTCTGTCTGCCTACACCTACCAAACCAAGTCCACCAGGAACCTGGAGTTGTGGCACAGGGACCACATTCATTCTAAGTACTTCCTGTCCCCTGACATAGGCCCAGAGCCAGCTGGTTGCTCTCAGGAGAGATGCAAGGCTGTTGGGGTTCCAAGCATGTGCTCCAGTGTGGTCTCTCCCCTGTGTGTGGCGCCTGTGGTTCTGGGAGAGCTCCTCTGTGTAGCTCTTAACCCCCGTGGTTCAGGTCAGGTTGAACACAGCCTTCTCTGTTTCACCAGGGAGCACATTTCCTGGCCCAGAAGGTCAATGTCAGGAGCACCAGTCCTCAATCATCCCAAAGCCCCAAAGGCCTTGAGTTGTGTCTTTGACCCAAAGGCCTCTCAGTCCCCACTGACACCCAATGAGGAATGCTCATCAGTCTTTAATCTCCATTACCTGCCTGAACAAGACAAACTCAGTATCTACCAGGAGAGAACAAGAGCAACAAACTCTCTCCTGGGTTCCCAGGAAGAACTTACCAACTTGTGACTCATAGAACTCTGCCACTACAGGCTTTAGGTTGTAGGGTTGGAGGCCTGCCTCGAACACCAAACCTGCATCCAGTGTCACAGCATCTGCTTCATTTGTCTGAAAGGGATAAGACCAGACCCTGATGAAGTGCTTGCTTCTGATAAACTTTTGATAAACTAAAAGTATATAGTAAAAATTTAAGCCAATCATTAAAGAATATAAATAAAATGGAATAAAGGGAAAACAACACAAATGAACACACACGTATGAAAAGGAAAAATTAGAAAACGGGGAAAGACTGGACTAAGAAGTCAAAAGTAATATGGCAGAAATAAGTCCATATTTACCTGTAATGACAATTATTAGTGGCCTAGTTTACTGCATAAAATAAATGAAATTGTCAGAAAGCATTAATAAACAAAAGCCAGCAATAAACAGTTTTCAAAAGATGTACCTGAAACAAAAGCACACAAAAAGTTGAAAATAAAGGACTGGAAAGGGCCACAGAAGAAGACTACTAAGCAGAAGAAAGGTTGGTGTATTATGTTAATATTTTAAAAAATAGAGTTTAGTCAAATAGAACTCCCAAAGATAATTTAATAATAATAAAATACCAAATTCACCAAAAATGATAGAATTATTCTCTCATACATTGCTGGTTGGAGTAGAAATTGAAATAACCACATTAATTTTCAACTACATCCCCAAAAGAAAAAAAAGAATAGCACCACCAAATTTGCTTAAAAATCAAACACATTTGACATTGTCTTAAAAGTCAAATTAATATCTCACAGTATACCAAGTCTGCTCCAATACTTGTGTCCCAAGAGATTTATATAAAAATATTTGTCACGTCCTGATTAGGATAACAGAAAGCTAGAAATAGCGCAAATGCCTAATGACCAGAAAAGAAAAAATAAATTGTGGTATACTAACATAATAGACTATTGTAGAGCTCTGAAAATGAATGAACAATGGCTATATTCAAAGATATGGGTGAATCTTAGCATAATATCGAGGAGGAAAAAAACAAGTAGAAGACAACACATAGTAATGTCACATTTATGAAACTTGTCACAAAAGGCAAGAAAGTTTTAGGATTCAGTTTGCTCAGGTTAGAGAAACACATCGATGGTTTTAAGTAAGGTCAGTGGGTTATATCACACTAAGCGGGGCCATTCCCATAAAATCCAGTATTGCCACACCGCAGCCCTAGAAGTAAGCTATGGGCAGTGATGAAGTTTTGAGAATCTGTGTTAGGTTCATGGATAATATTATTAACATAGAAAAATAAAGAGGGGCATGCATGGACTAAAACTGAAAAAATCATAATTCAAGGGTTAGAATTAAACCATGACCATAACTGAGGTCCAATTAAAACACACACACACACAGACACACACACACACACGCACGCACGTGCACACACAGCAGACCAGCTGTTCTTACCAAATCATTGATTCCTTCAGTGAATCATGCTCCATCTGGCTGAGTCTGTCTCCCCGTCGCATTACTCCTTCCAGTCTCCTGCTTGCTCTACCCCTGTCACCCTGACTTCCCTACAGCAGCTTCAAAAAGCCCGTCTCTCCCATCTCAGGATCTTTGCACAAATTGTTGTTCACCACCCGACGTATTCAACCGATGGCACCCAGCAGCCTTACCCATGTTCATCCTTAGGGGCTCAGCTTTTCCTCTCAGGGAGATTATCCTTGATACTCGGGCCAAAGCATGTTTCTTCTGAATGTCTCTGTCAGAGCATTCTACTCTTTCCCTTCACTGTACATCACACAGCTTGAAATTACAGTCTATTTGTTTCCATGTTTTTCTTCTCTCCTGACTATACTGTAAGCTCCTCAAGAGTAAGGACCATGTGTGTTTCAATTCCCCACCACAGCCCCATTGCCCAGCACAGGGTCTGACCCACATTCAGATGTGCACAGACAATGATGAAGGAATGAAGAGTTTGGGGAAAATCTAGAAAACAAAGGGTTCAGCAATCATCTACAGTTGGCACTGTATTTCTCTTCCCTGAGAGCATCATTCAGCTTCCTGTGATATGTCAAGAATTTCCAAAACAACATCATAAAATAAGTTTGATAGCAAACATTCTTGTTTTTCCCCTGAATTCAGAGAACTTAGTGCCTTAAAATTGCCCATTTTTCAGAGCATTGGATTTTGCTTCAAGACCCCTTAAAAATGACCACTCCAATTTCCCTTTCTGAAGTGTTTTATTAGCATTGGAGGTTGACTGTCACACACACCAGCCTCCTCCCTGTGAGTAAAGAGTTGTTCCAAAATGACAGTAGAGAAAGAGAAAGTATAGATTTTCTTCCACTCTCTTTTAGGCAATAGTGACTTACCGAAATGGCCTTGATACAGTCAAGGTAGGAAGTTTTCTTTACACAGCTGACAAAGGGACCAGTTTCAAGGACCGTTTTCATATTTTCGACGAAACTGGAGCACTTACTGGCTTCATGATGTGAGACAGTGCACCATCTCACAGTTTTCTCAGGGGAGACAGCCAGACACAGCCCTGGGAGAAAGAGGCCAGAGGTCCCTGTGCTAGTGGGAGAGACATCAGCACCCTCCAAAGAGTCTGGAAGTCTCCATCCCCTCTATCCTGTCCTTCTCCCACTCCTCCCATTAACACCCCAGGGCACAGTTTCTGCCACCATCTGAGGCTGGGGACAAGAGAAAGAAACGCTAATGGCCTCCTAGTCACCTGCTAACCACCCTGTGCTAGCCAGAGGTATGTGGGCTTGGCTATCAGCTCTCGATTGGAGACCACTGTCTGCACCTCTCTGTTCTGCCTGCCTCCTTGCCTCACAGTCATGGGACATAAGCCTTATCAGTGTGACAGGGCATTTTCAGCTACTTTAAGGTGTTGGCTTGATAAGACAACTTGGGGAAGTAGCCAGGTAGGAGTTACCATAAATAATAATACCATTTATTTATGTTTTAATACAGTTTATTGTCAAGTTAGCTAACATACAGTGTATACAGTGTGCTCTCGGCTTTGGGAGTAGATTCCCGTGATTCATCACCTACATGCAAGGAATTACTGTCTCATAAAGATGATGGAACTGGGCTCAGAAAGTGATGCTTTAGCCAAGGTCACCCAGCTTGTTAATGGCTGAGACTGGCTTAGATACGAGGTCTCCAGACTTTGGCCTCTACCCCAGGGAACAAAAGAAGATGACATTCTGAATTATTTTCCATATGCTTCACCAGTAGGTAGGGGCAAGTGATTAATGAGATAATGAATTGTATATGATACTCTTCTATCTAGTTCCAGGAGTAACTAGAACTCCACATATTTAGTGGTTCTTTCTGTTTCCAGTGACCCCCTCCTTCAACTTTCATCAGTCTTTGGGGCTGCCATTAGGAAAAGCTAAAGCCAGCCTTGTCTGTAGCTATTAAAATCATGTGGTTGCACTACTTCCAAAGCCCTCTGTTATCTCTACTTTCTGTGGATCAACAGCACAAGGCTGACTCAGGGAAGCTGATGAATATCCACAAATCGCAAAGCAGGAAAGGGGGAGGGCAGTGGTTCTCCAGAATGCATAAAGAGGGGCCACAGGGAAGTCAGTGCCCCAACCACCATTTATCCCACTTGTACCCATGAGAAGTCACAGGAGGCATCACGATTCAGTGGCAAACCTCCCTAAACTGTCCCTCCTGCAGTCTCATGGGCAGGAATTTGTCCTGAGTCCTGCATTTACCTTGCACAGCCCTGTGAGGTGCTTGGGGCAGGCAGGTGAAAGACAAGTAATGCAGGGCCAATTCTCAAGGGTAAACTTTTCCAGGAGAGACAAATAACAAACACAGCAGGCTCCAAATGTGTGGCAAAGGCACCAGGAGTGGCAGGCAAAAGTTAAAGGACAGAGGGTACCAAACAATCTTAGGAGGTGATGGGCATGGCAGAGGCCATCCAGTGGCAGGCCACAGCAAGGATGTGCTGGTGCCTGGATGCATGGCCTCATTTACCCTCACCTGACCCCGCAGGCTGGGGCTGTACTGCCCTTCTCACTGGTGAGGACACAAGAAGCCTGGCTTCAAATATGCACCAAACCCCTCAGCGGCCCTGCTTCTTAGCAGGGTATCATCAATGCCAAGGGTACCTGTAGGACATCAGACTGCCAAGGGGAGGGCGGGGATCTGAGAGGTCTTGAATGCCATGCTCAGCAGTTCAGACTCAACTGAGGAGGCATCATAGAAGTGATCTGATAAACCATGATGTAAGTGCTCTAATTTATTGTATTCTAATACTACAAGATTTACTGGACAATGAGGAGGAGGAAAGCAAGGAGAGGAAGCAAGTGAGCACAGCAGGACAGGTGCAAAGCAGCAGAGGGGAACCTGAAGCAGTCCTGAGGCAGGTGCAGGGGTGCAGTGGCGAAGAGCGAAGGAAATGCTCAGGGAACCCAGGGGCGGGGAGCAATATGTTGGAGTGGAGGGTGCAAAGAGCACCCGGCTGGCGGCTGGCGACCTTGCGGGTCTTCCCTGCGCTGCTGAACTCACCCAGGACCGCGCAGGCCAGCAGGGCGCTGATGGCGAGCCTCATCTTCCTGAGTCTGTGGCTTGAAGCGGCAGGGAGCACAGACCTATGGGCTTCTGCACCGCCTCCCAGCCCTCCGCGCCGCCGCTTTATCCTCTGCACCCTGGGCCAAGCAGAATCTTTGACCTCCTGTGTTTGCACAGCCCGCTTGCCCAATCACGCCTCATCCCGCCCCCATCATTCCTTGTCCAGGCCGATCACCTCATTTCCTGAGCTCTGGAAAGATGACGGACGGTATCCAGCACAAAAATGCTGATTGTAAGGGAATAAAAGAAAAATCAACCCTTTGTTAATATGCGATCTCTCAGTGCCAGGAACAGGGCTGCAGCCGGAAGAGGGTTGTTGGGGGAGGGTGGATCTGCTCCTGAATCTGAGGATGCCAACGCTGGTTGTGCACCAGCTTTCATTCCACAGATAATAGAGGAGAGGAACTACCCCAGATCCAGACTAGAAACACAGAATGACAAACACTTTCCTGAGAGAGGGTGTCAGAGAAGAATAAAGTGAGCCTCAAAGGCAAGTTCAACACCCTTACTTGATGCCAAGTGACCCCAGAAACCCTGTCCCTGGGCTTTCAAAGGCCCTCCTGTCTGAGGAACTTCTCTTTCCCCATGTGCCCTGCTGAACTAAGGCTCCTGGACCGAAAACCTTCCCTTCATGCAGCCTGCTGGACACCTTGGCCTGGGAACAGAGTCACAGGGAGAGATCGGGAGCTTTCCCATAGGAAGCTACCAAGTAATGTGACCAAGACTCTTGAGACTCAGAACGAAAGTGTCACATGAGCACAAGGCAAGGGACCCAGAGGAGGATGTGGCCTGATCTCAATGCTCTGGGTCATCCCTGGGTCCCTCCAGCTAAGTAGTCTCCAACTGGCTTTGTTTGCACATCCTTATCAGGAAAAATAGTGACATTGTATATTCTGTGTATGCACTTTTTAAACTAATACGTTGTGTACATTTCAGCCATGTGAGGAATAGAAATTTATAAAGCAATGAGACAAAGATGAAACACTCATTTTAAATTTTGTTTGTTTGTTTTTTGTTTGTTTTTAATAGTTTATTGTCAAGTTGGTTTCCATATAACACCCAGTACTCATCCCCACAAGTGCCCTCCTCCATGCCCATTACCCCCTTCCCCCCCCCCCCATCAGTCCGCAGTTTGTTCTCAGCATTCAAGAGTCTCTCATGGTTTGCCTCCCTCCCCCTCACCCACTATTTTCCCCCTTTCCTCGGTTAAGTTCCTCCTAATTGAAACACTCACTTTAAAATGTTCCTTTGTTTATTGTGCCTTGTATACAATGAATAATATCTCAAGGCAAAATCATACATTTAGGGAAATGGCAAGTTTCTTGATAGTAGATATATATCAGTACTCCAGAAAGTCATCAAGATAATTTTAGGGCCCTCTAAAAATTACTTCTTTTCCAGTCTGATCAGATAATTGTTTTGGGCTCTATGTACACTAATTTATAGCAGGCCTATAAGATGTCAGTACTATTATTTTATTTTTGTTCATTTGTATTTGTGTCATCAAAATCATCTATTTCTAGTTTCTTTGCAAAAATATTTTTAAGGCACTTGTGCATTTGATGGGGGTTGGTGAGTTAAACCAAATTACCTAATGTGTATATCCAGTTTACTGGGCACATGTGCACCACAAAATGTGGAACCCCACAAAAGGCAAAGGACAGGTCAGAGGATCACAACCACCCAGCACCCCCTTTCTGACCCTACTCTTTGTGAGGTAGTCCCCATCTTCCCTCAGGACACTTCAGAGGTTCTACAAGACACGTGTCTGTCTGGCCTACAGACCAATGGGAGACACTGCCAATCCTCATACTAAATAGTAGTGAATGTTCATTTGTTAATCTTTTGTGTTAAGGATAAACATAACTGGAAGTTAGGTTATCTTCTCTCACACCCCAATAAATTGTCTCATATACATGTGATTACACACACCCCACTTTAGAGAGTATTACTATACCAAGGACTTTCCATTTACAGTGAAGGCTTAAAACAAGCCTAGCCAGCTAAACACCTTTCTCACCAATGAAGAAGAGTGACTGCTGCTGCCTTCCTTCCCTACCCATCCTGGGCCCTCCTGCTGAAGTCATGAAAATCCCAGGATCATGGCAGGAGGGAAGTATTCTGACTTGCCTCTGCAACAGCAATTAGGGGGTGGTCTGGTTTCCTTTGGGAAACCTTGAGGTATAGAGATGAAGATAGAGGGAGAAATTCAGGGGAAGAGCTGGCAGGGAAGAGACTGTACAGAGCAGGCATGCCTACATTCCGGGGATGCCTCCTTAGACCCTGCAGAGAGCTTGCAGGGTCTGCCCAGAAGTATGAAGGAGAGTTGCCCAGTGCCAACTAATCCACAAACTCAGGGAAGCTCTGTGGAAGGCATGGAAGGCAAATGGACCATGATTCTTACCCCTGGGCTCCTACTGCACTTACTCTCATACCAGAGGGGATAGTGAGCCTTTCCTGAGGCAGCTCCTCCAGGGACAGGCCCCCAGCCAAGCCTGAGCCCCTCAGAGGGAGCACCCTCTGGCCAGTGCACGGGAATCCCCATTTTATGGTTTGGTGTTTTTTTTTTTTTTTAAATATTTTTATTTATTTCTAGGAGAGAGAGAGAGACAGCGTGAGCAGGGGAGGTTCAGAGAGAGAGGGAGTCACAGACCGAAACAGGCTCCAGACTCTGAGCTGGCAGTCAGCACAGAGCCCGACGCGGGGCTCGAACCCACGAACCGCGAGATCATGACCTAAGCGAAAGTCGGATGCTTAACCGACTAAGCCACCCAGGCGCCCCTGGTGGTTTTTTTTTCTTTGAGAGGGAGGGAGAGGGAGAGAATCTCCACACTGAGCATGGAGCCCAAGGCTGGACTAGATCCCAGACCCTGGGATCATGACCTGAGCCAAAATCAAAAGTTGGACACCCAACTGACTGAGCCACCCAGGCACCTCTAGAATCCCCATTTTTAAGATGAGATGAGGAAACTGAGGCCCTGAGGGGTTAATAACTTTTCCAAAACCAACTGGTGAGTCAGATGCAAAATCAAGCAGTCTAGTTCCAGAGTTCACATACCCACCAGGGACATACAGAGAGCAAGGGGTTCATCCGGGCTCACACTAAGAGGGATAGACAGGGCACTCCCAGTCCTGCCATTCTCCACAGACACACGACCCCACACTTCAGTTTGCAGAGGGGCTTGTCCCTCTCAGAGAGGTCTGAGTGCCCCAGCTGTAGAACCTCAGGCATGCACTGCGGTTTTTTGCTCAGATGGAAGGAAAGTATTACATCTTCAGTCCGTCCATTTGCCAGGAACCATTCTGGGTCAAGATCTTTGTGATCTTGACCAACTACCTTGAGAGATGAGATCAGTTCCCCATTTTTCAGGTGTGGACACTACACTAAAATGACAGGTCCTCTTCACAAAGCTCTGGGTCCTGAACTCAAATCTTTTAAGTCCCAGCCTCCTGTAGACTGCAGCTGCCGTCTGGATATTTATCCCCTTTTTACTTATCCAGAAGATGAAAGGAAGAGGGGAAGGAAGGACATAAGAGGGTGTCGAGGGTGGTGTGGGAATGAAGAGAGCTTTCAGTTATAAAAGCCAAGCCAAGTCATGACCCACATCTTCCACCATAAACTGAATAAAAACTCTTAAATTTCAGTGGGATTGGCCCTCTTGTAGAAAGAGCTGAGCTTGTGTGTACGTGCAGGGGGGTTGGGTTGCTGACCTAAAGGAATGGGCAGGAATGCATTGGCTCTCTGAACCAATATTTGTTGTTTCCAAATGTTGCCTCATTTACAAAGAAGCAGAGCAAACAAAGAACTTCTCTCTGGTTGAACTAGTCCCTCTTTCCCTCCCCCCTCATTGCTCTCTGCCCAACACCAGAGCTTCTCCTCTGAAAACCTGAGTCTGGGTCTTCAAGAAGGTGGGGTCAGACAGCCTGAGAACTAATGTTTATAGATCCACTGTTCCACAGACCTACTGGCTTAGGGAGAGTGTGGTAAGAGGTGAGAACCAAGGGCACTTGATGTTAGAAAAAATGTCAGGCCATTTGAAATGCCATACACCACCACCATCTCTCTCCCTCTCCCTTTCCCTCTCCCTCTCCCTCTCCCTCTCTCTCTCCCTCTCCCTTCCCTACCCCTATGAAGTTCCTGGACAAAGAAGATTCTCACGCTTCCATTCTATTCCCAGAGAAGTCCATAAAAATATCTTTTTCATGAATAGTCAAGGGCCAGACAGCTTCACCAATGAATGCTACCAAACATTTAAGAAGAATTATAACAATCTCACACATACTTTGCAGGTAATAGAAAAAGAAAGAGCATTCTGTAACTAATTTTTGAGGCTGGTAAGTATATTTTTGAAAACAAAAACCATCAAGGACATCATGACAAAATTAAAAAATACCTTTTATGAACACAGATGCAAAAATCCTAAGCAAAATACTAGCAAATTGAACTCAGCAATATCTAAGAATACTAAATCACTACCAAGTTGGATTTATTCTAGGAATGCAAGTTATCTTTTGAAAAGTTGATCAGTGTGATTGATCATATTAACAGAATAAAGGAGAAAAATTAAATGATCATGTTAGCTGGTACAGGGACAGCATTTGGTTAAACTCAGCAACCATACTTTTTAAAACCTTTTAGTAAACTCAGCAACCATACTTTTTAAAACCTCTTAGTAAACTTATACTAGGAAACATGTTTAATCTGTGTATGTGTGTGTGTAATACATATAAATACATAAAAGAGATGTTTTATATGTATATGAAATCATCATACTCAGTGGTGAAATGGTGAATGAAAGTTTTCCCTTTGAGATCAATAAAAAGATCAGAAAGTCTACTATTATCATTTCTATTCAACACCTAACTTGTGGACCTTGTCAGTCCAGTCAGGTAGAAAAAAGATATAATATGTAAAAGAAGTGAAAAGAAAAAAATAAAAGTGTCATTTTCTTCCCAGTTTATTTCATTAGAAGGAGCACAATAGTGATTCATTCTCATCAATTCTGTTATGTTTGTCTACTTGGTTAAGGTGGTGTCTGACAGGTTTTTACACTGTAAATTTGCCTTTGTAATTA